ATTTTTTTTTTTTTTTTTTTTTTTTTTTTTTCGATATCAAGAAATTATATATGCTTTTTTTTTTTTTTGTTGTTTTTTATTTCTTCTTTTATTTGCTCTTTATTTTTTTAATTATTTTGCAACTTTCTCATGGAAAATTCATAAGAAAACCAAGTAATAGATGTAGCTGGTATAGTTTTCAATAAATTTACATAAATACCTATAAAAAAAAAAAAAAAAAAAAAAAAATTAAAATACATGATTTGCTTTTACATAAAATGGGAAAATAATAATAATGGAAATCTAAATGTTATAGAAAAAAAAAAAAAAAATACAAAAAGTATTAATATGAAAAAAAACTAAAAATTACCTCTATAGAGAGATTTAAATCCATATTTTTTAATATTATATAAAATAAAACTACATGATTTTATTTTTTTTCTTTCATTATTCAGATAATTACTTGCTATTTCATTATTCAAAGTTTGCATTCTTGTTCTTAATACTAAAAAAGGATAACTAACTATTTGAGCTATAAAAGAACTTGTTATTCCGAAAAATAAAAAAGATAAACAGTTCACATTTTTTATGCGATAATCACAATAAGAACAAGATATTTTATTCATAATATCTTCTCCCTTATTTTGATAATTTTTATTATTCCATTTATGTTCTGAATCTTTTTTTATATTGTCAGAGTTGCTTACAGTTTTTAATAAAAAATTTTTACCATTATTGTTATTATTATTATTATTATATATATGAAAATAATTATTATTTTTATTATTAGTATCTGAAAAAAAATCATTTCCTTTTTTATAAACATTTTTGAGACAATAATTTGAATGAATATAATCTTTATAGAATGAAAAAAAAAGATATTTTAAATAATCATATATACTCATGTTACAACCAGAAAAAAAAAGAACGCCATATATATGCATTGATAAGCCGTTATAGAAATTTCTACATCTTTCATTTTTATAAATATTATAAAAACATTTAATTATTCCATTATCATCATTTTTATTAGATACAATTAATCTTGTTTTCACTATTTCAAGTGGGTAAATAAATAAGGCAGCTATGACACCACTTGAACTTCCTATTAAAAAACGAATAAAAAAGGGTATATTAATATTTTCTTCATTACTAACACAATTATTTGTTTTGTTATAATAATTATAAACATTCAGTTTCATAAATTCATAAGAATACATTTTTATAGACAATTCGGGAATTATTTTAACAATATTAACACAATTTCCCCGAAAAAAACCACAAAATATTCCATCTTTTTTTATAATTTTAAAAATTTCAGAAATGGGTAAGTTATTAGTTATTTGCATTATGTATTTTACTCTATCTAATGGTGCTGTAATTGTTCGCGACATTATTCCTGCAAATGCTGAACTTATTATGCTATTTATAGCATTTTTTTTATCTACAAAAATATCAAAATCCTTTAAAATTTTCTTATTTTTAACACTGGATTCACTATTGTAATTCGTTTCTTTCTTTTCTTTATTTTTTTCATTTGTGTTGTAATAATCTTCGTTATTTACATTATTTTCTATAACAATAATATCTTTCTTATTCATATTTTTTTTTTCATTATAAGAATCTAAATTATATTTACTTTCATTAACCATGTTGTTTTTTGAAAGGTAATTATGTAAATTATTCTCATTTATCTCAATTTTTTTTAGTTTTTTTACATCTACTTTATCATTTATAGTCTTATTAATGGAATGATCATAAATATTTAAATTTTCGATAATGTTTTCATTTATAACATTCTTCATGTTTTAAAATGTTTTCACTCATTTCTTTCCTTCTTCATGTATTTTTTTTTAAATTAATAAAATTTAAACAATTTATATATTTATATAATTTTTTTTTTTTATGTTTTCTATCAAAATTTTTCCGATAAATTTATTTTTTATTTATTTCATTTTGAATTTATGAAACTTTAAACATGCTACAATGTAATGTTATTTTTTAAAATTGTTCTTGATATACTTTTTTTTTAATTAATTTTCTGTATGTATTGTTTTTTTTTTTTTCCTTTTCAATACAATCACTTTTAATAATTTGTTTCATTATACATCCATTACATATTTTTTTTTTTTTTATTTTTTTTGTTTTTTTGATGCATATTTATATATATACTTATTATTTATTTTTAAATTTTTTTTTCTTTTTTCTTTTTTTTTTTTTAAAAGAAATTAAAAAGATTATTTTTATTAAATAGATCTAATAGAACTTATAACAAAACTAAAGAAAACAGTTACAATAATAAAAAATGAAAGAAACATATAACTTTATAATATTTTTCTCATATGTAGGAATGGAATTTAATGTATGAAAATCTTCCTTTTTTATATATTAACTACTATTTTAAATATACATTTATTTTCATATTTTTATTAATATGATTTTAATAATGAAAATTTAATTTTTTATATAATTGCAACATTGTTTTTTTTTTTTTTTTTTTATATGTATTTTATATGGTTACTTTAATTTTTTTGTTGAAGTTATTTTTTATTCATCTTAAGTTATTTATTCTATTTATATATTTTTTTTTCATTATTAACATTTTTTTTATTTTAACATATTTTTGAATTGTTATATAATATGATTTGCTTTGATGTATATTTTTTTTTTAAAAAAAAAATTACAGGGTTCTGCATATCAAAAAGACAATAAAAATACAGTAGAAAATAAACTCATAGAAAATTTACTTAATTTAAAATTAATATCTAATAAGAATAAGTAAAATAAATATTTTGAATTTACTATAATTTTTTTTTTTGTATATTTTTTCACTCTTTCTTTTTTTTGCTTTTACTTATAAATTCTTAAAGATTTGTCTTTATTTTTTATTTTTATTTTTTTTTTTTTTTGATCAAGTTCTTTTTCGAGAGTATCAAGAACAGATAAAGGTGTATCTGCTCGTGTAAATGCATTAACAATAAGATTAAAAATTAAATATCAAAATATGTCAATGTTAGATATTAAAAAATTATATGTAAAAGAATTGAATAAAAAATTAAAAAATATACATATCATTGACATTCAAGATGTTCCTAATATGTTTGATGCTCGGTAATAAAAAAATATATATATATATATAATGTTCTTTTTTACAATTATAAATTAAAAATATACATATTTCCTTCTCTACTTATTTATTTTTGTTAGTTTAAACTGTATACACAGAACATACGTTTATTTTTTTTTAAACAAAAATTATAATTTGGAAAAAATGAAGGAAGCATCTAAATTATTTGTATATAAAAAATAAATTTTTTTTTTCCTTATAATAAATATATATCCTTCATTTTTTCGTTCATCTTATTTTATTATCAGTTAGGAGAACATGATTTTTCAAATTTTTGCAAAAAAAGAAAAAACAATACGTCATTTAAGTAAATTTATAAAAATTAAAATTATTTTATTTTTTTCTATATATATTATATATGAATTTGTGTATCCAAATTGTTACTCCTTTTTTTTTTTTTATTATAAGTAGGAGAACAGTGTTAAAATTTGAAATTAAAAATATAGATAAAAATTTTTTTTATTTTAAAATCAAAGGTGTTTCATTTTTATATAACCAAGTAAATTTAAATAAACAAATAAATGTTTAATATACTAAAAAATTATGAAATTAAATGTCTTACTAAAGTGAAAAACACACGATATTGAAATAATCTTTTAATTTTTTTTTTACATTAGATTAGACATATGGTTTCTATCCTCTTTTTAGTTGGTAAAGGATTAATGGACAAAAGTGATATTTCTAATATGTTGAACAACTCGCCAATGAAAAATAAAAAGTAATTGAAAATGTTTTATTAAATATGCATATATTTTTGATTCTTTGTTTCTATATGTTATTTTAATTTTTATTTATTATTATCTATTATTTTTCTTGTTTGTATTTATTTATTTTTTTTTTTTTTTAATTTTTTCTTCTTTTTTTTTAGTTATAAAATAGCTGATGAAAACGGTTTATTATTATATTCATTTAAATTTAATGATTTTAATTTTAATATTAATATTGATAACCGTATATTTTCTAATGTTATGAATAAATATATTCAAAGTACTATACTTTTAATATCACTTTGTTACCCATTAAAAATAAAAAAACCCAATGATGATTTTTTTGAAAATATAGATGATTAATAGAGTATTAAAAAAAAAAGCTATAACAAAGTAGCACTTATTTTTAGTCTTTTAATTCATGAATTTTTTTTTTATATTTTTATATCTATAATTTTCATTAAAAATTTTAAACATAAGTTCATTCTATGTTATATTTTCTTTTCAAGAATCTTTTTTTTTTTTAAATTTTTTTTTTTAATTTTAATGTTTTTTTTTTTTTTTTTAAACGTTAAATTAACTTGTTTTGTTTTATTTAAAATACATTAGCTTTGAATTAAAAAAAAAAAAAAAAAAAAAAAAAGGAAAAATAAATGAATTAAAATAAAATAAAAAAGAAACAAATTAAAATATATCTTTATTTAAAATTAAAAAAAAAAAAAAAAGATCCTATTAAATAATCCTTATTTTGTTTTAATATGGAGAGAAGAAAAAAGTAACATTACCATAAAAACCACATTAGAAAAAATAAAAAAAAAGTATATATATTTATACTATGAAAATATATATATTTATAATTAATAGTAGTTTTTATAATATTTTTATATGATAAGTTATATTTTAATATATAATTGTAAAATGAATGATCTCTTAGTACAAATGACATCATTTGCATTTGTTTTTAATTTTAATCATTAACTCCATTTATTATATGTCTACCTTAATTCTTATATATGTTTGTTTATTGTTTTTTTTGATCAAATAGTTTAGAGAAAAAGAAAAAATATATAAAATGCAATAATTTATTACTAAAAGTAATTTAATAAAATATTAACTTATTTAAAAAAAATAAAAATAAAATGGGAAAATTAAGTAAAGATAGAAGAGATATTTACTACCGAAAAGCAAAAGAAAATGGTTATAGAGCTAGAAGCTCATATAAGCTAATTCAGATAAATGAAAAATTTGAAATTTTTAAATTATTTGATCCAAATTTGTATAATAAAAATATAAATGAGTTAATTAATATATACAATGAAAATTTTTGTTATAACATTGTTGATTTATGCGCAGCTCCAGGTAGCTGGTCACAAGTTCTTAAAAATATTTGTTTATACAATTACTATCAAATTTTGTATTTTATAAATAAAAAGAATTGCGACAGTAATGAAGAGAAATTAAGGTATTTAGAATACAAAGATTTTATAGAAAAATTTTCATTATATATTAACTTTAATGATGTATTAGAAAATAAAATTAATAATTTAAAAAAAAATGAATCAATAAAAGAACCTAAAATTATAGCTGTTGATTTGCAAGAAATAGGTAATATGAATTATGTACACATTATTCAGGGAGATATTACAAAAATGTCAACCATAGATAAAATTTTAAAATGTATGAATAATAAAAATGAAATAAATAATGGAGAAAATTTCATATATGAATGTGATGGTAGTAAAGATAAAAACAATAAAAATCCAAATAAAATGGTGACATCAAATAACTTGACTTATGCAAATACAGTTGTTAGTGATGGTGCTCCAGATATAACAGGTATGAATGATATAGATGAATTTATTCAATCTCAGTTAATTTTATCTAGTCTAAAGGTTTGCTGTTCTATTTTAAAAATAGGAGGAAACTTTATTAGTAAAATTTTTAGAGGAGAACATACGGGACTATTAATTTTGCATTTAAATAAATTCTTTGAAAAGGTATACATATGTAAACCTCAAAGCAGCAGAAATAAAAGTTTAGAAGCTTTTCTTGTTTGCCTTAATTTTTCTTTACCATTATCTAATATTATTGCTTTAAGTAATCATAACGAAATAAAAAGTTTCAATAATAAAAATCTTACTCATGAACAAATTAGAAAAATACATACACAATTTATTAACAATAGGGATCATAATAAAAAAATTAGTGATTCAAAAAATGATAAAAAAGAAAATAATAAAGGTAACTCAAAGTTATACGATGAAAAAAATAGCCAAATAAATAAAGAAAAAAACAATGAAAATGAAAACGAAAATGAAATTGTAGATGAAAACAAAGATGAAGATGAAGATGAAGATGAAGATGAAAATGAAGATGAAGATGAAAATGAAAATGAAAATGAAAATGAAGATGAAATTGAAGATGAAATTGAAGATGAAATTGAAGATGAAAATGAAGATGAAAATGAAGATGATAATGAAGATGATAATGAAGATTTAATCGAATATGAGGTTGAATATAATGACAAAGATGAGAGTGAAAATAATAATGAAGAGAAAAATGAAAATACTCATTTAATATCAAGTAAGTATATAGAAAAAAAAAATACAGAACTGAAAGATGAAAATAAAAATAAAGAAGATTATAACAAATATAATGTAATATTTGATGAAGTTGTTATAAACGATAAAGAATCACATATAAATGACACAAAAAAAGACGAAAAAAATGAAAATATTTCAAGCATCACAGAGTCAAAAGTAGATAAAAATATAATTAACAACTTAAGGAATAAAAATATTGATATTTTTAATTTTTATTGTTCTGATAGCGATGAAGAAATAAAGTATTTTAATTCAGAAGACGAAGAAATTGTTAATGACTATATTTCATCGGAAAATTTTAGAAATAGCAAACTATTTTCATTTGTTGCTACAAAAAATTACTATGATTCTGATAAATCATATTTATTGCCTCAAAATTATATAAGACATGAACCACAACTTATGCCATTAAAACCTCCATATTTATTATCATTACAAAAAAAAAGACAAGAAACAAAAAAATTATAGCTTTATTCTTAAATTGCAAATATATAGTTTTTTTTTTTTTTTTTTTTTTTTTTTTTTTCATATAAGAATTACAAATCAGAATAAAAAATAGAAAGAAAAAAGAAATATTTTATAGTAAAATAGTTAATTATTAATTTTTATTAAAAAAATTAAGTTATGTATTTAAAAATATATAAATAAAATAAATTAATAAATAATATAAATTAGTTTTTGTTAAAAATTAAAATTGATAAATGAAATTATTAAGAATTAATTACACCTTGAACTGGAATTTTACTTTATGAAAATTTTTTAATTTGCTTTTTTTATAAAAAACATTCACTTAAAAAATATATTTCATTAATTATATACATATAAATATATAATTATTATTATTGTTTTTCATTATCTCTTGTATCACTTATCCAATCTTTATGGCACATATATTTTATGAACCATATTAAATCAACTTTATCTTGAAAATTATTAATTCCTTTAAAATTCATATGAATATTCCCTTCTATAAACCTATTAGGGTTTTGCAAATATCTCATTAAATTTATGTCATTCCATACAATTCCTGAATTTTTTAATAAATCTGATGCTTTATATAAACTATTTTCATATAATCCAGCAGTTCTCCCGTACAATCCATATAAATTTGGTCCAATCTAGAAAAAAAAAAAAAAAAAAAAATACAATAAAAAAGTTATATATTAAAACTTTCAATATTTTTTCATCCATATTTTTTTGCTTATTTTAAAATAAAATTATATGAATAAAAAAATAGGCTACAATTTTACATTTTTCTTTGAATATATTTTTTTTATGTTAGTACATACTATATAGACAAAATTATACATTTATTTTATATTTATTAAAATATAAAAAAAAAATAAATTAAAAAGTATAAATTTCCTTTTCTTCTATTTTTAAAAATGTAAAGTATTAATTAGGAATTTTTTTAATCATGAATTAAGAGTTATCTTAATTTTATATTTTTTTATTCATTATACCATAGAAGTACCTTGATTTATTTCATTATTTTTACTAATAGAATGACACTGTTGACAATATTTTTTAAATAATTTATATCCTCTAAAACAGTCACCAGAAGGTAAAATAAAATCATCTGCTATACTGTCGTCAACATATGATTTTATTCGCCCTGCAGCACTCATGACCTTATAATTTTAATATATTCGAGAGATTGTTTAAACTTAAAATTTTTTTTTTTTTTTTTTTATTTGCATTAAAAAAAAAAAAAATAAAAAAAATATGAATTGTAATATGATTAATCGAAATTAAAAAAAAATATTTTTTTATACGTGCATATAATTTTCTTGCATATGTATGTATTTTTTTGTATGCTTACATTTTTTCCTTTTATTTTTATTAATCATGCATCTAGCATAATTTTAGTTAGTTGTGAAGGAAATTAAGAGTTCTGTATGTCATATATTACACACACACAATATATATGTAGCTGTAAAAAAAATAAATTAAAAATGTGTATACTTATTCAGCAATAATAAAAGTGCATTAAAGTGCAGCTGTTCATATATTTAATATTTAACAGCATTATATCTAATATTTTAGCATATTTATTATGAAAAAATATGAATATTGTAAAAAATAACAAGGATTCTAGATGTTACACATTGAGATAATTTAAAAAAAAAAAAAAAAAAAAAAAAGAGAAAAAGGCTAATTAAAATATAAAATAATGAAATTAACGAAGTATAAAACGTAATAATTGAGAAAAGAAATAAAACAATCGATAAATTTTTCAAAAAACAAATGACAAGTATTATCCATTAAAAAGAAAAAATGTCTATAAGTAGTATTAAATTCAAAAGTCATTTTGCTCTAAAAATAAAACTAAAATCTTTGCATTTTTCATGCAAAAACTTCAGTAACATAACAACGGTATTAAAAAAAAAGAAATACTAGTGTAACAAAAATATTTTCTAGATAAATTATATTTAAATTATTTTTATTTTTTGTTTCTAATTCTCAGTTAAAAGTAAAAATTTTTTATGAAGAAGAAGATGAAGAAAAAATATCCAATGTATCAGAAAGAGTTCAAATAATTGAAATGTTGAATAATGAATACAATTTAATGGTATTAAAAATATTTCATATAAATCCTATGTATATTAACAATTTTTATATACATTTAGTTTTATTTGTATTACTTTCCTTAGTTTAAAGATAATATAAATAAAAATTTCTATTTACCAGTTGTTTGCTTAAATGGGAAATGTCCAGAATTTATAAATGTTATTTTTAACAATCAAAAAAGGAAAGATATTGGATTAAAATTATACTTAAATAAATATTATAGCTTTTTAAAATATTATAGCTCATATAAAATGTACAAAATATATAAATTCAACAATAGTAACGTAAAAGGTTAAATATTAAAGATAATATAGAAATAAAACTCTTATAATAATTTTATAAAATGATTATTTCAAACATTTTTAATTTCATTTTTATTTTTATGATTTATTAGGTCATGTTGAATTGGCTATAGATTTAGTTAGTTGCGAGAATCCTTTCAATTATTTTGGAAATAAAAAAGAAAATATGGTAAAAAAAAATTCTCTTTAAATATATATTTTCTTTTAAAAAATATTAATAAATATACAAATAAAATATAACTAAAATAATTTTTTAGGAACAAAATGATTACTATACTTTAGCAACTAAAGTATCCGTTAGCAAATTAAAGAAAGAAATGATGATATTTAAAACTGATAAAGACATTGATATGCATATAGAATCTTTTGTAATTTATGAAAAAAAAAAAATTAATTTGAAAAAATCTTTTTTTTTTTTGAAATATATATTTCTATTTTTATTAAACATATATTTTTTTTTAGAAAATAATTCGAAAGAATCGTATTAAAGAAGTTCCACTATCAAGTATAAATAAAGAAAAAAATTTTATAAAAATTCAAGTTCAATAAAAGTTTTTTTTTAATTTTCAGATAAGCAAAATGTACTTAATTTTTTTTCTTCCTCTTCTAAAAATATATATGAGAAAATGCCAATTCCTTTGATACCATCTTCCAATTTATTTGATATTCTTTTCTTAGAAATATTTCCTCAATATAGACAAAGTAAATAAAAAATATATATATTTATATATTATTATAACAAGTAATAAATATGAATTTATTTATTTTTTATAAAATATAGAAAAACCATATTGGCTAAAAATTGTTAATGATGCTTATGACTTATATTTGTGTAATCATTTCCACTGCTATAACATGGATATGGTTTATATGAAAAAAAATTTGTAATTATGAATATTTTTTGTTTTTATTTAAAAAAATAAGATTTTTATTAAAAAAAAAAAAACTTATTATTTGTAGGAAAATCTTTTTTATGAGGAAATAAAAACATGTTCTCTATTCTTTTACCTAGAAAGTATATTTGTTAAAATAGCGGCAAATTTTGCAAAAAGTGTAATAATTCAAGAATATACGTATGAAAATAAAATAAAAGAATTAAAAAATATGTAAAAAATTAAAAAGTAAAATTTGAAATAATAAAAAATATAAGAGTCTATTTTTTTTTTTCAAATTACTTTCTATAGGAAATACACTTCTTTTAGATATGTTGATAAACTATTTTCTAAAAAAGGTAAGCATTCTTAAAAAAAATAATATTAAACATATAATCATTTTATTTAGTAATTATATATATATATATATACATATATATTTTTTTCTTATAAAGCCAAACCACAACATAAAACAGTGTTTAATCATAATTTTAAATACGAAAAAATAATAGGAAATAATCCCTTAGAAATTTTTAAGCTTTTTAAAAATGATGAAGTAAAATAAAAATCTATATATATTAATGAAAATATAACACTTTTATTTTATTAAATATTGGATATCACTTTTAAAAATAATTTTTTTTGTAATGTTTTCTCTTTAAAAATTAATTTTTATTATTTTATTATTAATACTAATACATACATTTTACTAGATATATGTAACAAATGACACTGACGTTATTAGAGAAGGATTAATAGGAATTTTAATATTTGGAGATGATAAAATGGATATAGATAATGCTTATAAGTAATAAAAATTATAAAAAAAAAAAAAATAATAAATCTTTAAGTATGTCTTTTGTAAAAATTTTTTTTTATCTACTAGAAAATATAATAGTGAAATAAAAGCACAACAATGGATAAACAAAGGAATAGCTCAAGTTAAAATTGAAAATTTAAAAGAATTAAAAAAAAAATTCAAACAAAATATAAATAATGAAAGAATATCCCTATCTATACTATCTTTTAATTTAAGCACTAGTAATTAATTAAAAAAAAAAAAAATTTGGATTATAATTAAGAATGAATATATGTTTTTATTTCTTTATTTTTTGTTGTATTTGTTTATTCTTTTCATTTCATTAAAAAAAAATAATAAATACAAAAAAAAAAAAAAATTCTATAAAATATCTTGTGTAAATATTTACTCATTTTAATATTTTTTGTTATGAAGTTGTATCATATAAAGGATTTAAAATGTATGTCATGCCATCTCCAATTTTTCCTTTGGTTATAACTAAATTAAATGAAATTGAAGGGAATCTAAAATATGTAAGGATATATATAATTTAAAAAGAAAAAAAAAAAAAAAAAATATTAGAGACATTTTCAAACATTTTTAATTATGCTTTACATAAATTTTAGGAATTGAAGTTATTAGAAAAACTTATTCCTACATACAGCTTATTCAAACAAGATCATTGCAAAAATACATTTTTTGTACAATATGATTCACAAAATAATTATGTCTTTTATAATATTAATTCTATGCTGATCAAATCAAATAAAAATAATTTTTCATTTTTTGGAAATTCTAAATTAGAATATTACGACAATGAGGTATAAAATACAATCCATTTTTAATTGAAAAATAAAAAAAAAAAAAAAAAGTTATATTTTTAATTGCCAATATTTTTTTTTTCTTTTTTTATTTTTCTTCTCCTTCATTTCAACCATAAAATTTTTTTAAATAAAAATTTAATGTTTACAGAAGAGTGACAACTTTTATCAAGGAAAATCATTCCATTCAAGTTTTCTGAAGATATCTAATAATATTAACTTTTATGAAGAGGTAAATGAATATGACGAATGTAAAAGTAATTATGACAAATTACTAGATATTCATCTACAAAATGTTGTAAGAGATATAGAAAGCTTATCATTTCATGTTCCATTTGATAGTATCTCTTTAAAAACATTTCTACATAGTAGAGGAGTAAAAATGAAACAGTTAGGAAAAATGTTGAAATTTGTAACATTTAAATGGTTGTATAATATGATTTATAACGAAATATTAATTCGATGTATTAAGAATTTTATATTCTATTGCATAAGAGAAATATGTATATTCTATAAGAAAAATATAAATAATTATTTATTTGATGAGTTTCAAAAATATGGAAATAAATTCAAAAAACAACAATCCATATTTTTGAAAAATTTAAAATTAAAAAATAAAACAGATATTTTTAATGAAAATAATGACAAAGAAGAAATAGAAGGGAACATACTAAGTTCCTCTAATGAATGTGATGAATTGGAGAATTCAGAAAATTATGAATCATTTAGTAGTAATTCAAGATCATCAATAAATTCAGAACAAATATACCTACCAAGAAATAATGTTCAAAAAATGCATCTATCTTCAAAGAAAAAAGCATTAAAAACATTTTTAAATATATCTAAAATACTTAAAAAAAAGATGATCTTAGAAAATCATTTAGATTGCAACTTTTCCTTATCTTCTAAACTTTTAAACTTTTATCGTTTTAAAAAATATACCAACACTGAAATGTACAGCGTAAAAAATTTAAATAATAAAGAGACAAAGTTAGATATTTTAAATCTGATTAAAAAGAAATATAAAGGAAATATAACTGTTATTGATATGTTTATAATAAATGTTTTTAATTTAATATTAACACATAATCATTATATAGAAAATATATTAGTAGTGGTGAAAAAATTATGTGCAAAATTATTTAATATTAAAAATTTTAGTTTTATAGAATTACATCATAATTATATATATGAGAACTTGCAGAAATGTTTAGGTATTCTTTTTTTTCCATCTTTATTAGAATATGATGAAAAAATAAAAAAAGCAAATAGAATTTTTGAATTACATCATTTAAAATCATATAATATTAGAATAAAAAGATCTATTAATATTATGTACATTGATTTGCCAATTTACAAATATATTCAAAAACCAAAAAATATTAATCTAGATATAAATAATGAGAATAAGCATATATTATCACATTTAATTTTCTTTACAATAATGTATCATCATCATCTTAATATGAGCAATAAAATATATATAGAACAATTAATAATGCATGATGAAAAAAACAACAGGAAGAAAAAAACAAAAAATGATAAACATGATATAGATAACGAAAAGAAAGAAAATAAAATTATAGAAATATATGATAATTATAAGAATAAATCCAGAAAACTTAAATGTTTAAATAAAATTTTTAATTCAAATTCTTTTGAAAAATATAATAAATCATTATTTCTAAATGAAAAAAACAATTGGCCATATGATATAAAATTAAATTCCTTATTAGCATCAAAAGATAGTATTACATTATATAATGATACAAGTTATCTCACTTTTTATGGATTACTAAATATAATAGCTATAGGAATAAAGTTTAATTTTTTTGAAAGTTCGTTTAAAATATCTAATTATGTTTTTAGGTATATATCGGAAGATAACGTCATTTCAATTCATGTTCGTATTATGTGGTTGTCTATGTATGTTTTTAAAAAATATAATTCAAAATGTCTATCAAGAAAAGCAGAAATAAATGAAATTAAAAATAATTTATTTATAAATTATCTTTATACAAATCAATCATATGAAAGCAGCAATGATAATAATATTGATAGTAATAGCAATGTACAAAGAGAAAATTTTATAAATGAACAATTAACTACTACCAAGCGAATGATTTTTAAAGACGATATTAACGAATATAATGATTTAGACAAAGATTTAAATTATTCTTATCATGAGAAATATGAAAAACATGATAATTATAATTATATTGATAGTGATGAAGATAATTTTTTTCATTTCGCTAAGATAGATGTATATAAAAAAACATATGAAATTTGTTCAAATATTTTAAGTAATTACTTCATTTTTTTTCATCCATTTTATTTAGATTTTTATCTATCTTTAGCTTGGTATGTTTTAAAACATAAACATAGATATATATTTATATATAAATATACATTAAGAAAATTTTACATATTTAGGTTTTATTATTAAATGCATTTATTCAATAAAAAAAAAAAAAAATAAAATTTATAATACTTTTAAAATACCGACTAATTTTCTTTCTAAATTAATTAAATAAACTTTATTAATCATATTTTATATGTAGTAATTCTTTGTATTTTATGGATGGTATTTTTATATTTTATTTTACATTATAATTTTAAATATTATTAATCAGAATACATAACTTAATTTTGATAAATTTTATAAAAAATAATTTTATGTTAAACCATTTGTTATTATTTTTTTTTTTCCTTTTATTTAGAATTTTGTTAATTTTCCTATGTTATTAGATTTTTTATTTTCATAGATACATGATACATTTTTATACATGATGATATTTTATTATTTATGGTATTTTTATGTGTTTCTTCCTTTATTTATTCCAGGTATAATAAAAGCGCAAAAAAATATAGAGAGTTTTTGTTTCTTTTGAGAGCAACTATTTTATTACAAATAAATATGAGCTTAAAGAATTATAATGAGCAGAAAATTGAAAATATAAAACTAAGTGATGATTTTGATAATCTGGTTTATTCTAAATTTAATAGAAATAAAAATAATAATGAAAAGAGTATATTGAAAGAGGCAAATAAAAATGAATCATATTTTTTTCTAAATGATATATGTTATCCGCATGAAAAATTATTTTTATATGATAATATAAAATTAATACCAAAAACTAATTCTTTTTATAATATTAGATTGGCTAGCACATTACATTATTTTGCAAATTCTCTATTTTATTATTATAATACTAATAAAATTGTTAAAAAATATAAAAGTAATAATTTTGTCTTGAGTAGTTCTTTTTATTGTATAAAAGTGTTAGAAAGTGTAAAAAATATATTTCAATTTTTTAATACAAAAAATATAAATATAGCAAAAGTATCATTAGACTTATCTTTAATGGCTTTAAAAATAATGTTTTCAGAAAAAGAATCAAATATAGATAAAAATAAAATGATGATATATGCTTTAATAAATGCTAAACATGCAGAAAAGGTTTTTCTATATATATATATAATTATCTATTATAAAAATAGAAAGAATATAAGTTTGCATTTTTTTAATCATAAATATTTAATATTAGAGATATAAATATATACATATTTTTTTTTTTTTTTTTTTTAGATTTTTAGACATAACTATGGAATAAACAATATAGATACATTATATTGCAATTACGTTTTAAGTTTAATTTATATGCATTTAGATAATAAAAATTGTATATATATATTTGAAGAAGTATATTATTATTTAATGAATTACAATTATACATATCATGATAAAAATATTGTAAATGAAATTTTTTGGTATTTTCCTGAAAACATAGTAACATTAAAATGTAATGATGGTAAAGGGATTTTAGATAAAGATAAAATAAAATGTCATTTATTCAATATTTATATAAATATTTTTATTCCTTTTAAATACTTAAGGAAAATTATGAAGATATTATTATTACTTTATTCTACTGAATTATACAAAAATAACAAAGATGTTGAAGTCCTAAAATTGTCTACAGATTTATACGACTCAAATTTATATTCTTATGAAAAAATTCTTGTGTATATAAAGACATATAAATACATTTTAGATAAAAATGAATTATTTTCTCAAATTTATGAATACAATGAATTGCTAAAAAATAACAAAAACATAATAAATCAGTTAAAAAAAGTAAAGACAAAAGAAAATTATATATATACAGAAAATCATCATGAAATGAATTTTAATTTTTATGATGATCATAATGTTAACATAGAAAATTTTGTTAAGAATATTCAAAAATATGAAAATAGAAATTTTGATGATATTTTTTTCGGAAATAAAAAGAACATTGATTTTATTCTAGAAAATGAAAATCACAATTTTAAAAAATATAAAAGTGTAACAGCTTATTACCTAAAAAAATTAATAAATAATGTTGAATACAAAGTAAAATTATTATATGAAGAAGAAAAATATTTATTTGATACAAGAGAATATTCCAATATAAAAAATAAAAATATGTATTTAAAAATAATGAAGTCTATAAAATTAAAGAGAATTAATAGAAATGCTTATGCACAAAACTTAGTTAATAATAAAAGTAAAAATATTATATTTGATACTAGCACAATTGATACTGTGTCTATTTTTAATTCAGACGAAGGTGAACATAGTGACTCAAGTAATTCTTATAATTATTCTGATAGCTCAATGACTTCTTCTCTTGATAGAAATAAATCTAACAAAAATATTAATAACAAAAAATTTTCTAGTAAAGTATTTAATTTAAATAATGAAAAAACAATAAAAGGAAAAAGTAAATTAGCATTTAACAATGATACACATATTTTTATGAGCATACTTTATTATTTTTTAAATTATAAAACTTTTGAAAAAATTTACACACAAACAAGAAAATAATAGAACTTTATTAAAATAATAGATCAGTATATTTTTGTTTATCAAATAATTATATATAATTCACAAAAATATTCATTTGACAATATCATACATAAAAAAAAAAAAAAAAAAAAAAAAAAAAAAAAAAAATTTTAAATATGGCAAAAAAAAAAAAAGAATATTTTAAAAAAAAGTAAACTTTTTTTTTTTTTTTTTACATTTAAAATAATTTATATGGCTTAAATATTTTCTTTTTTTACTTCTT